GATGGCGATGCCGAGGTCGTAGCGATCCGCCCCGCGGAAGAGGGGCTCCTGGCTGGACCCGCTCAGGGGCTCAGTCCTGGGGCAGCCGGCGGGGCCCAGCAGCGCCAGGAGGGCCAGCAGCAGCATCCTCCAGCTTCTCAGCCTCCAGCACTCGCTCCGGTCGGGGCAGGGCAGGAGCGGGAGCCCAGGCAGCAGGGGTAATCATTAATCGCTCCGCAGCGGCACTCCGCAGTGCCGGGGCTAGTGTCAGGAGCGGCACAGCGCAGGCTCTGCTCCTCAAGGTGATCTCGGTGCAGAGCAGGAGCTGGTCCGGCTCGTCCACGTTCCCCTCGCTGACCAACGCTCTGCCGCTCTTGTCTCTTCTGAACACACAAATTAAGCAGGAAAAGCGTTTTACTCCAAGAAACTTGCAGTTTCTTAGAGTAAAGCCTTAGGCTGCGACACCCTCCCTGCACAGCCCGGGGCAAGGGCCCAGCACAGAGAAGGGGAGAGCGGGCTCGGACCCGTGCAGCAGGAACGCGGCTCCTTCCACCCGGGCACAGCAGCAGCACGACCCAGGGCACTGCCTCACGCTGGCAATTACTGGTCCAGCTTGGGGCTCACATCAAGCCTCTGCGCCCTGGAATGGCCCCTCCAGCGCAGGGTGTTCCTGTCTGCCCAGGGCTGCTTGACCCCAGGGAAATGGTTTTACAAGCAGAAGGGGAGGGAAAGGCACAGGCACAGCCAGGTGACGAGGGAAGCTCGTTCCAGCAGCCGAAGGACAGAGGGGAAGCAGGTGTTTCCAAACAGGCTTCTCCCCAGCCCCAGCCCTGCAGGAACAGAGCCAAGAGAGGCAAAAGTGCCCCCATGCCCCCCTCCTGCCCTTGGACTTCAACAGAAGCCTAATCCAGAAGCTTCTGCTTCACACCTACGCAGCAGCACCTCACACATTCAGGGAATCACCATTCCACCCTGAACAGCAGCCAAAACAACACCCCAAGCCCCCTCCGGAGGCAAAGGGGGAGCCCCATGTTCCTACAGAATCATGGAATGGTTTGGGTTGGAAGGAACCTTTAGGGTCACCCAACCCAAGCCCCCTGCAGGGAGCAGGGACACCTTTAACCAGATCAGGTTAAAGACCAGACCTGGCCTTGAATGTTCCCAGGGATGGGGCCTCCACCCCCTCTGGGCAACCCCTGCCAGTGTTTCACCACCCTCAGCGCAAAGAATTTCTTCCTTATATCCAGTCTAAATCTACCCTGGTTTAGTTTAAAACCATCACCCCTTGTTCTGTCACAGCTGGCCCGGCTAAAAAGTCTGTCCCCACCTTTCTTATCAGGCCCCTTTATATACTGAAAGGCTGCAATCAGGCCTCCCCAGAGCCTCCTCTTCTCCAGGCTGAACCACCCCAACGCACTCAGCCTGCCTTCACAGGAGAGGGGCTCCAGCCCTCACACCATTTTTGTGGCCTCCTCTGGCCCCGCTCTGACAGTTCCATGTCCTTGTGCTGAGGGCTCCAGAGCTGGAGCTCTGGAGTGGTGGTGGTGCGTGCCCCAGCGAGGGGGCAGTGCCCCAAACTGCCATGTTTCCACCCGCGAGGTACAAGTTCACACCTTTTACTACTCTTGATATCCAACAAGAAAGGAACTTTATTTTACAGATTGCTTGGACACGGACCCCAGCTTTGGCACCTGAAGGCAGGAAACAGGGCAGCACCCTCATACACTTGCAGGATTGCACAGAGGAGGAGGATGACAACCAACACGTAAGTACTGAAACAAAGAAAAACAATGTTTTTAAAGCCTCAGAGCTGGGAAGGAGAAATTCCCACTCACAGACTAGCCATGTACAAAGCAGAAAAGAAGTGTAGGGGAGGAAAAAAAAAAAAAATCAAAGCAGATCACCTTGCCTAAGTCGTCTCTTCTCCCCAGAAGCTCTGGGACCACGTGCTGTCTCTCTCTCCCACAAGAGACTGAGTGCAAACAGATGAAACAAGCAATTCACAGTTTAGACAATTAAAACACATAAAAATAGCCCCTGAAGGGATCATCCTGCCACCATTTGACAGCATCTGAGCAGAGGAAAATTCTTTTCAGCAGCCCACCAGGTTGCAGTTCGCTCTACAAAGGCTGCAGCTGTCTCATGGAAAAGGGAGTCCCAATCCCGGCTGTTTCCAAGGCTGTGCCACCAGCCTGCACAGCTTCTGCCAACTGCAGAAGACCTAAACTTTGCAGCTACAACTCGAGACGCAAGGCTCCTTGGTTCTTGTCAGACGTGGTTTCCGTTTGCCGCAGCAGTCTCAGGGACCAGGAACCAGGGGGGCTCACCGCGCCGGCCCCAGCACACATCAGGGACAAGCACAGCAGCCTCCCCGCTACTATTGCTCTGGTCCATCTTTCCAAAGAAAAATAACAATTTTTTTGGACTGAAAGTCCCATGGCTCCCAACTTTAGAGGATTCCCAGCTTTTTCATGGTCCGCCAGCGATCCTTGATCATCACTGCCGTGCGGTTCTGGAAGGGGTATTTCTGGCAAATGGCCTTCCATCTCCCTTCTCCAAACTTCTTGACACCCTCTTTGATCCACTCGCTCTCCTGGATTGTCCATTTCTACAAAAGAGCAGGTAAGCAGGGCTCTGAGTACAGCACGCAGTTTCAGGGAGGAGCTGCGTTTGGCAGAGAACTGCGCTGCATCTCCTTCCCAGCACGTTCACTTCCCTTCATCACCCGTGCTGCTCAGCCGTCGGAAAGGCAGAGGTGTCCTGTCCATAGCACACACAACGCTCAGCAATCACTTCGCTGCAATGTGCTCTCGTAACTGTTACAAATACGAGAAGCGCTAAGCTCCAGCACAAGCTCAGGAGCAGTTCTGCTTCCCAAAGCACAATACTCATCACCCTTTGATGCAACAGCAAGCATCAGAGATAGAAAGTACTCACTGCCTACACCCTGCCTAACAGCACACATGTAGAGCACAACAGCAAGCATCAGAAAGTACTCACTGCCTACTCACCGCCTACACCCTGCCTAACAGCACACATGTAGAGCGTTTAAAAAAAAAAGATAATCCGCCAATTCAGGTCTGCATGACCCCTGAATTTTTGTATTGGAGGCAAACCACAAAATAATTGAAGAAAGCAGCTACCGGGAACAAAGCGCTACACGGTGCACAGCAGCACAAGAGCCAGCAGCGATTGTCCCACAAGCAAGGGTGACCCCGAGAGTTCCCACTGGCACCAAACTTGGGACCTCTTCCCAGGTAAGAGCTGCCATATGCGTGTCCCCCACCCAAACAAGATGCTGAACCTCCCCAACGCGTGGGGAAATTGGCAAACCCAGCTCTGAACCACGCGCGTCAAGGAAAAGGGATTTCATGCACGCACCCAGCGTGGGAGGCGCACAACTGTAGCCAGCTACCAACTGGGCTGTTTTAACACAGAAACTCCAGCTCTGTGAACGCCAAGACCTGCACAACTTGGATCAAGCCTGGGCACAGCAAGCGCCGGCCCCAGGAAGCATCACCTTCCAACCCAGCCTCCGGTGTTTCACTCAAGGCAGAGCAGCAGCTCACCCTGCTGCAGGGAACTGCAGGCCGCTGCGGAAGCGGTCTGAGCAGCCCTCCTCACCAACACATTTCAAACTGTCCAACAGTCAGCTCTTCTGTAGGGACAGGTCCTGACTTCAGGCCTTCCTAAAAGGACTCAAGGGCTCCACATTACCTGTTTCTTGGAACCGAAGACTGTCGTGTTGTGGCTGTTTGTCCCAAGTGACGCTGAAAAACAAGGCAAGAGCATTACCTTTCACCGTAAGTCAGGAGGTGCAGACCCTCCTCGAGAGGCTGCCTTGGGCTTAGCTGCTGTCAAGTGTCCGCTGACAGACAGTAAAACCAAATTCCTTTATCCCTCCCTTTTCTGCAGCTATAGCACGCACGGCCTTTCCGTTTCAAGCCCCAACTGCTTTATGTGAGAGCTTTCCAGTATGATCCGTTTCGTTTTAAACCAGCCAATACGTCAAGAACAGGGGCATCCACCCAGGGTCTGGCCGAGGTCCAAGCTGGGGCTGGAATTAGCCATCCGTTGTCCGCTCCTTTGCACCAGCTAAGCTGTGTATCTAGCTGCAAAGGGAACTGGATTGGAAAACCAATCCAGCTGAAAAGGTAAACTTAACCTTTACTTCATGGCACTAAAGTGGGAACGGGGAAAGAGCTGTACGTCCAATACTTACCTCCTGTAAGCTAAGCATGATTAGTCTGAAACCCGAGCAGGAGTGCGATTCAGGGCAGAGGTACAAAGAACAAATATCCCTGAGTTGGACAGCTACCCATTTCCTTGGGCTTTTAGGATTTCTGGTTGCAAAATTCAGTCACGCAGAGAGTAGCAAGACACCCGTGAATGAGCCCCAAAGCCAGGATCATCACCAGTTAACACCCACAACAGGGGCTCTGTTCTTACCCGCGTCCGAGAAGAGCTCATCCTCCTCACTCCAACTGTCTTTTTCTTCGTCGCCATACGAGCTGTTCCACCTTCCTTGGAAGGACCTGAAAGCAGGCAAGAGTTCACTTTGGCTATTGGCTAGGGAGAATGTTTTAGGGGGAGAAGGTGCAGGGACACCTGGAGCACAGCAGGCATGCGATCTCACAGCCTGTGATGAGCGCGCAGTGCAGTAAAATGCACCCATAAACCAATATATAAACACACCGCCACCTCCTCCACTCCCCTCTGCGGGGGAATGAATCCTCAGGAGCCCCTACGTGAAGGTATAGCGTGCAATATATACTAAATAGAAGTGGAGTATTGTATTTTGTAGCCAGCGTTTGCAAAACCAAGTGACTGGGTATTAACTACAAAATTAAGCACTTACAGAAAACCAGACACGTGCAGCTGGACCTCCCAGGCCTTCGTGAAAAGGCACTGGCCTGCCAACAGCTCAGGCCAGGAGCCTTCGGTCTTCCCAAGAAGCGTTTCATTCTTACTGTGTCACTACTAACACTACTGAGGTCAACCAAGCTACAGAGGCCTCTCCGTGAGAATGAGTGCCTCAGTGCTGTCACCTGCTTCCAATCCTCTTGAGATGAAATCAAGTCTGTTAAAAATTGGATTTCTAGACAGGTGTCATTAGCACCACTGCTACCAAGAATCCTGACACTTAAAAGCTTCAAGACAAGACATCCACACAAGCAGCACAAATAAATAATTTTCCAGGTGAACTGGAAACCAACTTGCACAGTGGCAGAGCCGAAGCTTGAGAACTGCTCAAGCCAGCGTCAGCCGTGTGGCAGCAGCCCCTCTCCGGGCTCCTGCCTGATCCAGCACCAACCCTGGCTTTAGGCACCCGGCACAGGATGGGAAGGCATCGCACCCGAGTCCCCTTCCCACTGCAGTCAGCCACAGCACTCTGCTCTGCAGGAGTTTACAATACATCATCCCACAACGTTCCCTGACACCCCCAAAATAAACTCCAGGCATATCCTAGGGACAGCAACGTCAGCCGCAACGCACTACTGGAAAAAAGCAGAAGATACCAAGTGTCACCACTAGCAAGTCCTTGAAAAAGTAGGGAATTTATTAAGCAAAATTCCCAGATGACACAAGGAAGTGAACAGCGGGGAGGGGGTGGAAATCTCTTCTTGGCGTCATCTCTGACAACAAGCTTAACCCCGAGCAAGACACGCCAGCAGGGCGCCTGAGAGATTTCACTGCTGCCTGCACCCATGCCAGCCACACACCAGCACATCTCTGCTTGCAGCCGCTCTCCTGTGCTTCAGAGAAGGACAATCCATCCCCAGAGCAGCCAAGCTGCGCAGAGCACTGAGATCTGACTGCCTGCCCTTCAGAACCAGACCTTTGCGTTCTTAGCACTCTTAAGCCAGGAACTAAGGGAAATCGTGTTCTAGGTTTCTTTTCAAACGCATTGAGCTCTCCTCAGTCCTCCCAGTTTCACTCTTGGGGATCAGAAACATCATCACTGCTGGCTGCTATGCAGCTTCACAAAGCAAAAGAAGAGCAACTCAGACTTTTAAGCAGGGAGCATTGTTACAGCTGACAGGAGATACTCATGAGACTCTTAAGAGTCTCTGTCAGTGTTAATTTCAGACTTCTGCTGGTAAGTCTACTCTGCCATTTTCTGTGGGAAACCCTTATAAAAAGGAAAAAACCCCTAACACACCCCTACCTCTTACTGCAGTCATCTCAGCCGCAAGCTAAGTGCTAACTCATACTGAAGAAACAGCCAGAGAGCTACAACCAGAGTTCCTCAACCAACACAGATTTCAGGAAAAAAGAGCTTAAGCAAGGTCTGTGTTGTATTTCTCAAGAGGTGGAAAGGAGAGTTTAATCTGTTCCACATGATGCGCCTATGAACTCCTTCCAGCTTCAGCACCACTAAGTGAAGCGTAGAGGAACGTGCGTTACCTGCGATATGCACGCTGGAATCCCCTACCAATACAAACTGCAGTGCCTCTGATTCACTGCCAGTGGGAGCTGGATCATTTTCTCCTCTCCATTAACCAAAAGGTAAAGTGTAAGGACAACAAAGGGTTTACTTTGCCCAGCTCCATAAACACTAGCAGACAAGGACGGTCAATATACTCATCTTGAATTAAAGATAAAGGTTTCTGTTGTTCATGCTACCGGTGTCAGCTGCAAGTCAAAAGGTTGGGTGCAGATTAGAATATACCGCAAGAGATGGGCTTCATACTTGGTGCTCTTAGTAGATACAGGCTGGTCATGCAATTTCTGAACAGGTCTGGAAGCAGAAGATACAACTGGCTCCTGGGAAGAGTCGGGGCTCTCACTCGACTCGCTGTACTGGCTGTCTTGCTCCATGACCAGTTTGCTTATGGTCAACAAGCGTTTGCCCTTATGGGGTATTTTAGGAGGGCCTGAGATCTCAGAATCTTGATTCTCCTCTTCTTTCCGTCTCTTGGTTCTGTGGGATACAGAAGGAGACAGTTGCTTGGGGAAAGAAAAGTCTGTTTCGTCCAGTTTGTTGAAGAGCGCGTCAGAATCCTGGGAGTCCGACAGGATCTTGAAAGCTTCTCTCAGAACAGAAATCCCATACGCAGTTACAGTTCCAGAGGGCTGCCTACAAAATAAACAGAACTGAGCAGGTTGTAAAAATATCACCAAGGTGGCTCCACTTCACTGAAATCAGGTTTTTCCCCTACGGTGTGACCCTCGACAATTAACCTCAGGGCGCAGATAAAACCTGCTGAAGCGGGCATTCCCAACCCTTTGGTCCACCCTCCTAAACGCTGCGGTGTACCAGGGAAGCAGGTCTTGAGAGAACACACCCATGCTCTGTGCGCCGCAGGATGCCCTGCTGTTCTCGACTAAGGGCTGAACCACACGGACGCCCAACGCTGCTCCACGAGAGCAAACCTTCTGGCAGCCACCGCCCTCCCTCCCTAGTTTACTGAAGTACTACACATCTTCAGGGGAAAAAAAACCAACAAAACCAAAAAACCAAACAACACCCAAAAACCCCAAACCACCTTAACATTTTTACTTTACAGAAGTCTTACACTGATAGCCTGTGGGGCTTTCTTGGGCAGACCTGCTTGGGATGGCATTTGGGAAAGTTAAGAGCTACCTGGACAGAGCAAACTACCACTCGGAGGAGAACTGCTGCCACACTTCATCCACAACGCAGGGCCAGATTCCTCTGCCCACCTTTCCGAGTCCCTGAAGGACACTCCTGGGTGTTCTGGAGCTGCTGCTGCTGGTTCTTTAGATACTTCCATAGACTCTGAAGCATCTTCCAAGGTATTAACCGCTGCTGTTAGATGCTCAGGAGTTGCTGCTGGGTCGGTAGCTCCTTCCACAGGCTCGGGAGCTGCTGCGGGGTCCCCTGCCCTTTCTGCAGGGTTGGGAGCTCCCTCCAGGTCTTGCGTCATTTCCGCAGGCTCTGGAGCTCCTGCTGGGCCCTGGGCCCTCCCCGGGTGCTCTGGAGCCACTGCCTGGTCCTTTGGCCCATTTGCAGACTCTGGAGTCACCGATGGGTATTTTGGTTCTTTGGCACATTCTGAGTTCAAAGTCTTTTTCATTATCTTGGACAGAGAAAAAGCACGTAACCATTATAAAGATGACCCCGCGTACCACCATCCGACTTTATCCCCTCCCAAAGGCGTTTTGAGCTGCTACTTGCAGTTCAGTCAGCACCATGTGCAGAGTTTGTGTTTACCAATTAAAACTCATTACACAGATTGAAAAAATGTGTTCAACTGTATAAACCTTTTAGGAATGGACTGAATTTAAAGTACTGTGAATTTAACCCACTGTTAATTAGGTGTCTAAACTCTTAACTCATTACTGCCACAGAGGGCATGTAGAAGCCAAATTACTGCATTTCACTGCGTCATGGCAAAGTGTCAGTCCTCCCCAAATCCGCACCTCGTGCTGGTTTCCTGCTGGCCCTCACAGCAGGATGGGAAGCCAGGCAAGCGGGGCAAACACGTACCGTTAGCAGCAGCGGCTCTGAATCGTCCACATAGGTCTTAATGAACTGAAACACGCTCTGCTGAAAGTCCTTGTAAGAGAAGTTTTTGACCATTGGATGAGCGAAATTCTTCTCCCGGATGATGGTCAGCAACTCGCTCCTCTTTTTCTAGAGGAGAGGTAAGAATGCTCTGAATAGGTGCAAGGGTATAAACGACAACGGCAGGAGCTAGGATCTGCGCAAGGATTGGGCCTTTCCTATTTGACATTCTCCAGGAGCAACTAGTCTACACTGACGCAAGGCTGGGAAAAGGCTGGAGGAATGGGAGAGACATCTCGTTTCAGCAACCTGAGACCCTACACTGCCCACAGAGACAGGAACGGGGCCTCTTTCTGCTTTCAGAACCAGCCCTTCTTACAGACTCACACTCTGCGTGTGAGCTTGAGTCTGCCTCAAGATGAATGCTGACGCCTGGAAGACTCATGAATATATGTGAGGGAACTCAAGTAACAAAGGGAGCTCCGACATGGCAATCGACACACGTTAGAAACGCGTCACGCTGAAGGTTCCCCCCCCCTTTCAAGGGGGACTCTTTCCATTTGTCACCCTTACCCCTTCTTGTTCAGGTTTCTCAGGGAAACCTTTTATGCCTGCGATATGGGTTGCAAGTCCCCCCCCGCCAATACCCATAAGACATCTCAGACCACCCCCAAATATCCCCGCTCCCCCTAAGACATTCCGGACAGTCCTCAAACAGCCACCTTGCGTTCCAGCGCAGGCTCACCTGGCTTTTGGGCTCCTTCCCCATATGCCTCTTGACGATTTTTGAAGCTTTGTCAAACTCTCTGTTTTTGATGCAGACAATAACAGCCTACAGAAGAAAACAAATACCAGTTTCTCTGCTGACACCGAACTGACTGTACTCTCTAGATCAGCCTTGGAAAAGCACGCATCGTAACCAAGCACAGCACAGGTAAGAGCTCAGTACCAACTTACACAGAGAAACAACTTCTACATTAACTGACGAAGCAGCACATGCACTGAAGACAGGTGTCTGTGGCCAAGTCACTACTAACGATGGTATTCTACACGCGTGTCTATTCCCACTGTCATTTATGCAAGACCTTTCTAAGACAAAAGGCAAGCGGAATATTTATTGAAAAGGAAAAATGTCTTACCGCTTCCTTCACCATTTTCTGAACAGTTTCCATTGTCTTCTCAGCCACAGAGAATTCTTTCTGAATGAGCTCCAGGACACCAATTGCTGATTCCAGAGGGGTGAGCTCTGAGTCCTTATCGAAGGTGCAATCTACAATAATTCACAGCCGCTGGTTTGTGAGGTGTTCACAGCAACACCTTACAGAGGGCTGGTTACTTGATTTCCTTAGTGTGACTGCAAATTCTAGAGCTACTGAGGATGAAGATGAGAGGGAACGGCAGGCTGGCTGCCAAGCATCTAGCCTGTGCGAGATCCACCCCCCACCCCCAGGTGTGGAGAGCTACAGAAGCACCACTTGACTACAAATAACTGATCCGGGGGAGCATTTCAGAAGCTAAAGGGGTGTGTTCAGATAGCAGGACAGCCCTGGAGCCTGGGCTCAAGCACGCTGCTCGTGGCTAAGGGCAGCAGCCTTTCACTCGCTACAGCAGTGTGATGCAGACATGAACAGCCACACTCTCTGGCCCCTCACCCTCAGGGGAAAGCTCCAACAGCTTCAGCCCAGACCTCTGCTCTGTGCAGAAGCACGGCTCCAGGGCGCTGCGGGGACACAGAACAGGGCACGCTCCGGCTGGGGGAGCGGGCTGCGGGCCGAGCCCGGGGCCGCCCCAGGGCCCTGCCGGAAGGGTTGGGGACCCACCGAGGTTCTCGCCTTCCTCAACCTGCGACAGGAGTTGCATTATGCGCAGCATCTGGGCCACCACGGGCTCCTTCTCCACGGGCCGCACGAGCAGCGCTGCGGGACAAGGGGGAGGTTACAGGGGTACGGTACGGCCCGGCCCGGCCCCGGCCGCCCTCCCCAGGCCAGGCC